AAGAGAAGATTGTTCAAACCCAAACAGACAGAAGAATGCTTAATTGGCACACTTATGTTTTTCTGCTACCCAGGAGGAAAGTATATTAAGTGCATTTTCTCTGCACATCTGAGTGTAGTGTGGGTATATTTTCAACCCTATTAGGTATTAAAACTTTGCATGCAAGTTATTTGCATTCTGGTGGTGGATGATATGTACGTTAGGGAGGAAATCAATTCTCAGGGTGGTAAGGCTGTGGACTGGGAGGCAGGAATTTAGGGTGATATTCCTTGGTAAAGTTCTTTCCATGGTGGGGAAAAGTCTCTCGAGCACTTCATCTGTGCTGCAGTCTTCAGATCTGGTACATATTGTGGCTCTGATTTAATGTTCTTTAAGCCCCTTTTGGATTGAAATTTGATTTACTATTCTCTCCTAAGTGGAGAAAATATGCTGGCTGTGGCCAAAAAATAGTCCAGTCAAACCAAGGCCATTAGTTCATAGGCATTGGCTTATGTATTAGCCTCTATTAATTTAATTATAGTGAGTCGGCCTTTGGAGACAAAATATGGGCACTGAAAAAATCAGGACTATGTGCCTTTAAGGCTGAAGGGCATGGCACGGCTGTGTGGTGAATTTATTAGAGGATATGCAACCCCATTCTCTCCCAGAAATGTTTCAGAATCATAGCATATCTTTCCCATTGACCAACAATTGACCAACAAACCTTTTTCTTCTAGAATTAGTTATTTAAGTCTATGATGGAAGAAGAAGTTCTTAAATATATCTTTGATTGTTCTTGGCAGGTATAAATGTTTTATGTCTCTGATTCCAGGTTTAGGTTTTACTCGTGCACTGTCTCAGTTTGGGGAAGGATGTAGCTTTTTCCCAGGCATTCTCCACTTCTATTATTCCCAACTGAATAAAATCACATTACACACAGTGTAATGTCGGATGGACACCTAAATTACTTTACACAGAATCATGTCGGGTGGACACCTAACTTACTCAAGTTCAACTATATGACCTCCCTATGTTACTGAAACACCAGGGGTTTGGTCTAGGTCCTGCTGCTCACCACAGAGAAAGCCAATCACTGAGACAATGAGTCTTGCCAAGGAAGAAGGCTTTGACTGGGTGCTGCAGCTAAGGAGATGGGAGCTCAGTCTTAAATCCATCTCCCAGACCGACTAAAATTAGGAGTTTATATAGCAGGGAATCAATGTAACAATGTGTGGGGAAACAGGAATAGGGAGCAGTAAGGAAGAGAAGTTAGTCAATAGGAAGCAGGTGGGCAGTTAGGCAGTCATGATGGGTGAGGGGTCTGACAGTGATCTGGTGAATTTCAGCTCCTTGATACTCTCTAGGAGGCCTGATGATTGATTTCCTGAAAAATGAACTCAGATAAGACAAATGTAACTTTCTCAGGATTTTTAAGACTGGAAGCATCAATTTCTGTGTCTATTCAAAGAAACTGTAAACATCTGCTCTATGGGACAATTGGATCAGTTTCAACTACAAGAGGAAAATGACAATTTCAGTGGTATTATTGGGAAAAGAAAATGCATCACTGGAAGACATACAGGATTAGTTTTCACTCTTCATAGTTCATCAGACATTCAATTTTTATGCAAGCACAGTGACGTATGGAGTACTGTATACCAAGCCACATGTACTAACAAGCAAGGGCTCTGGAGCCAGGCTTCCAGTGTTCTATAAAATGAAACTAGTCATTATACCTACATCTTGAGGTTAGAATAGTGCCAGTCATAGTAAGCTTTTACTAAGTGCTAGCTGTTATCATGATTATTGTTGCTTAACTTAACAAGCTACTTAAGGGATTTTCAAGGGCAACTTTCACTCCACATGACTATTCCATTACTTGCTGATGTGATAAATTTTATGGGGTTTATCTACAGAAAGCAGGACCTGTAGGACTTCTCCACTGGGAACATCTCCAAAGTTCAGTCTTCTTAGGGGTCCAAGAATTATGATCTTCTTCCAGCTCTGTGGGAAGGAGGGCCACACCTCTGTCTAGGCTCCCCGACCTCCTCATGGCTAAGCTAACCTTGATGGAAACTTTCAGCAAAGCATTTCTGCAGAGTGATGCATAAAGCATGACCTAGAGCTATATTAAACCTACAAAAATCAGCCTCCAACAGTGAGAATCAGTTTTATATGATAAAGTAGTGATTACATTTTCTAATGATTGCTTAAAGTATTTTGTAATCTACAGGGAGTATATTTTATAGCTCCTAGGAGCCCTCCCAGCTTTCCTATTTGTCATTCCAAGTTTAAGTAGAGCACAGAATATGAGGAGAGCAATCTTGGCATACATTATCTTTTCGGGAACTCAATATATGCAATATCCAAGTAATTAACCCAGGTTTAGCCAGCCTACTCATGCTGCTTCTGCTCGTCCGCAGCAATAAGGATGAAACAGTGTATGAATTACCCATTGGGACCCCTACCCTCACCTCAAGTTTCTTTTTTAAAAAGTAGGATCATATTTTTCAGACTCTTAGTAAAGTGCATTTTTCATTTCCCAGCAAGAAAATTTTTTCTGTTAAAATATTTAGCACTATGGATGATTATGAAGTCTTCAGAGGGGCTTATGGTGACATGTAGTGGGCCCCTGTCTAATCTTTCATCAAAGGAGCTTTCTCATCAGAGACCCTAGAGCTGTTTTTTCTGCTTATCTGTCAAACTGGCTTCCAAGGCAAGCATTCCTGGCTTGAGGTTTGAACCCCAAGAGCAAGACTTAACAGTTTTTCTGCAGAAAGAGCTGTGTCCCTTCCTTTAACTTGCAATTGCTAATCATGAAGAACATGCTCTGTGTCTAGATTCTAATAAGCTGTAGAAAAGATAGGAGGACAGTAGAAAGCAGAAAAGCAGGATTTATTGGGTCTATTTCAGGGCTGGGTCAGTGCTGGAGGGGCAAGTAGCTTTGTTAATTGATCTCAAAGAGGAAGTCGCTGTCTGCTGTCGAGAATGAGGCTATAAAGGTTATTTTCTCACTCAAAAATATGCACTGGGTCCAAAAGACTTCTATTTAAAATATAAAGCTAGAATGACTTCATATTCTATTATGGAATATGAAACATTAAGTTGAAAGGGACTTAAAGTATATACACATAATACATATATATATGTGTGTGTGTATCTGTATGCACACACAAGTACTTACACATACTTCTGCCCCAGTGTCAAGCTCGGTGCTGTGCATGTGTGTTTCATCAAAGGAGCACAGATTGGAGCTGGGGCTGTTATTTCCAGTGACTTGCTGCCTCCGGGGCAGCAAATGGAAAAGAGCAGGGTAGCTTGCTCTCTCAGCAGTGTTCACTGCATCTGAAAGGTCATGTCATGTTTCCCAGCAATTGACTCAATGGGTTTGGATTCTGCAACATAAGGTCAGGCCGTTTCCACTCTGCTTGTGTTTCCTGGGGAACGTGCCTTCCAGTTGTTTTCACATTGACCTCATTACCCAGCCCTGGTGATGAGCTTGGCTTGGATATGTTGTGGCTACAGCCGGCTCAGGGCTGCCCTGTCTTTGCAGACCCCATGCCTCTGCCCTGACCAGTGTGGGTGGGGATGCTTCTGCCTTGGCTCAGAAAGGCCTGGCCCCTTCCCTCCCCCTGCAAAGGTCCTCTGCATACAACTGAACAAAGATTACAGGAGGACCAGGATGTGACGGAGGGGCTGGAGACCCTTTCTCCCATTTCTGCAAGGGCAGGGAATGAAGAGGACAGACAAGAGACACCCAGGCTGCTCGTCTCAGATCTTCAGTGCATGAGCAGAGGGACCTGGCCAACAACAATATAACATTTCCCAAATTCCCCAGCTCCTTTTCAGAGTGAATATTTTCTAATGAGAAATGAGAAAATGATTTTCAATGAGAAATGAGCAATGAGAAAATTTGAGCAATGAGAAAATGATTTTCTTGAATCCACTGTCTCTGTATACCTCCTGCCTACAAAAATTTCTCCTGAGTCTCTTTCAAGGGAATTAGAATACTTTATAAAACATGATTGTTTCAGCTCTGGGAAGTGGACTCCACCAAAGTAAAAATACTCAGTGAACTCAAGGGTTTATTTCCCCAAATGACTGAGGAACTTGAGCATGAATCAGTGATGCAATGCTTCTATCAGCTGAGTCCTAGACAGCCAATTAGCATGGGCTGGGCTGGGCTGGGCCGAGCTGTGAGCCCATGAGCATCTAGGCTTGCCATCCCTTGTGTTGTGATGGTGGGTGGGTTATTTAAAGTCTTACAGCCTGTCAAATGGAGGATTAGTATGAGGATAAATGAGATCACACCTAGGGTGTACTTAATAAAGGCTCATTTAAGTCATTTAAGTCTGTGTTTCTGGTTTTCACTATGGAGTGGTCGTATTCATCCAGGTCTGGCCAACTACTTGGTGAAGCCAGAAGAAAGAAAACTAAAGTCTGATATGGAGGAAAAGAAAATTCTGGACCATGAAGGTCAATCAGGCAGTAGAATAATTCCAGGAAGCTGTCAAGACTCTAGAACTAGAGATATTCAAGGAAAAATTGGATATTGTACTGAGGGAAATAATATTGGAAGACTTTGTATCCTTAGGTATGAGTCTGAAAGAGATGACCCAGCAGCTGATCTATAAATAAAATGCTTTTTTGATGTCTAAGATTTGGGTGCTGTGGGAATGGCGGGATGTGTCGGGCACTTTGAAAAGTGATGATACAAAAGTGTTGCAGTACAGTGAAAGCCTATGTTTCTCTTCATTAGAAAAACTATATTCGAAATGTGCAGCCCATTCTAAAATGCAAATATGACAAGGCTGCTCCCTCTCTTACAGTAGACTAGCCTACTCTGTATAAACATGTATAACGAATGGTTCAACTCAAGAGAAGTTTGTTTTTGTGCTCCTTGGTCTGAGGCAGCTGTTCCTGGTTGATGGGAAGCTTTCTTCCATACGGTGACTCAGGAATCCAAACTCCTTCTGACTTATGGTTCTACCATCTCCTACCCCCTTGTCATCCTCTACATGAACTGATAAAAGGGGAAAGGATTTGTAGGAGGGGCAGTCACCTCTTAAAAGCCTTGGCCAGAACAGGTGCCATCTTCCTTTTCATATTCCTTTGGCTAGGACTCAGCCACATGGCCACACCTACCATTAAAAGCTGCTGGGAAATGGGGTCAGCTGGACATCCAGGAGGAAAAAGAGGAGATGGCTCCAGCTGGGCACCCTGTGGTTTTGTGACATTTTGTTTCCTAAAGTCCTTCAACCAATCCCACACTGCTCTGATATTGGAGCATTTACATCAGGCAAAGTCACCCTCCGTTATCTTTGAGAAACAGATAAAAGCTATGGCTCTCTCTCCATGCTTATACCCATTGCCAATTCTGCTTGCCGGTTTACAGAGGCTTCTCAGATGCCATCAGTGGAATTACTAACCTAGAGCAACAGAGAAGTTGCTCTCCAATAACGTCCTATCTATGAAGTAATGTTTTCACAAAGAACTGGTGCACCTTCAGAAGACCGGCAGTGGATAAGGGAGCATGTAAGCGGCTAATTTTGATGCCAGCATCCCTAGGATTGGTTGTTGGGGAAATGCATAGAGGTAAGCTGCTAGCCTGAGCTGAGCTGTTTCCTCCATAGCACTGCTAACAAGGCACTGCTTGATTGCAGTCCTCCGCTGTGTGGCTCCCCATCACAGAGGCAAGTCTGACTTGTGTACACAAGGTTGTGAATCCCTAGGCCCCAATTGCATAGAAACGTGCGCAGGTGTCATAATTAGCCATTTCCTGCCAAAACCCCACAAATAAGCTACAAGCCTCAAGACACAACCCTCTGGAACCTTTTACAGAATTGTTTGCAGACCAAATAATACTCATCTGTAACCTGCTTAATTACCCAAGCCATATATTTAACTGCCCTAGACTTGCTGGTACAAATTTTACAGAGAATCAGATGTGAGGGGAGTTAATGGCAGGAGGGCCTCTAGCTACCATGTGGAGCTCAACAAAGCAGAAACCAAGGCTGGTCTGCCCACAGACCAGTCAGATGGGTGCAAGGTTGCAGTTTCCTGTTCTATTCCTTGCCTGTCAAGACCAATAAACATGTCATGAAGTGACCAGAAACATGTGGATTTGGAAAGGCAAACATTGACATTGAGCATGCTGTTTCAGTGGTCTGAGCTGCTTCTCCTGTCTCCCTTGAGGGGAAGTTAAGGCACTAGATTGTTTAAAAAGTGCAAAACCTCCATAAATACCCAGTTTTCCACCTCCTGGCATTTCCCACACATCTCAGGAAATATATGAACTAAATGAATATTTTCCCCTCTAAATTAAGAAAATCAGATTGCATGTTAAAGTCTAAATGATATTTACGGAGGCAAGGGCTTAGATGATACTTGCTAAGGACATAGATGAAGCCTTCTCTCCCCCTCCCCACTGCCGCTATCAGTGAGACATTGAGGGAGCCACCGTGCATTTTACACTACAAGAGAGATGCCTGCTGGGGATGGTGTCCTGTGATCTGCCAAAATGTTTAGAGGCGGCACTGTTGGATAAGCAATTGTTCAGGCTATCTGAAGATTCATGAAAATGTACTTTCATCACAAAATTTACTTGTAAATGCATAGCCACAGCCACAGACTCTCCATTCATAGGATCATAGTTCCAATCTGGTTTTGCAGTCTGAAAATCATGTTATACCTGTCAGCCTTTTCCTCGCCAAAAAGGCCGTTCCTGGACCAAAGCAAACTTAACCTACTAGGGTTAGATAAGAAAATTCAAATGAGAAAGTATCATGTGAAATACAATATTGGGAATATTGGAAGTGAACAAGATGTAATAGGAATATAGAAACAGTAATATTCTCTCCCATATTTGCAAAGTACGGTATGTGTGAGTGTATATGAAAGAGAGACAGAGATTGGATGGCATTCATTTGAACAAAGCTTTATTTAAAAAATTGAAATAAATTTACATTGTTTCCTTTTTTTTATTATTGTAATGAACATCTCCCTGCAAATGACATATTTTCTTCTTTTATATAATTTCCTCCAGAATAAATTTTATTTAGGGGAATATTTGGTCAAAGGGTGTGGATTGGTTTTTGGTTTTAAAAGTATACATATTATCAACTTACTTTTCCAGAAGAATTTTACAAATTTATGGTGTTACCAGCAAATATTGAATTTAACAATTTCTCTGCAATTTTATCACTGTTGGATTCTGTCTCATTCATTTACCAAGTCTAAAATGGTTCTCATTATTATTTGAATTTGCTTTTATTTATGGCAATCATGTTTTGCTGTGTGCTACCTTACTTTTTGTATTTTTTGGGGAATATTCAAATATCATGAATTTTGATTTTGCTAGATAGTATTCTTTTCCATTTGAAGGAGCCTTTTGTAAAACATAAGCGTTATCCCTTCAAACAAATTGAAATCTATCAGTGATAATTATATTCATATCTATAAAATGTGCATAACAATTCGTTCCCTGGGCTATTGCACTGAATTATTGTGATAACACATTTGAAAGTGCTTTGGAAAATCCCAAGCATAATGTACATGGAGGTATATGATGATCTGAATATGAAATTTATACTTACTTAAAAGTATAAGTTAAGTATAAATATAAATATACTCTGGAGATAAATAGTTCTGTAGGAACTCATGTACAAAAGATCTGGGTATTTTAGCTAATTATAGGCTCAATAAGAGAAAATACTGGAACCCAAGTTGATAAGAGGTTAATATGAAACACAATTTATGCCTGAATATATGATGAGCTTTTTCTCCAAAAATTATCCATCAGAAAAAAAGCCACCTTATAAGGTCTAACAAGTCTCTCTTAGGAAACAAAAATATATTGTATTATCAAGACATATCACCTCAATTGATGCCAGTTTCGAGGCTTACAGAGGCCCCTTGATAGAATAAACGAAAAAAGGCAAATAAATTTCATATGAATTTAGTGATTATTCCTGGGTGTACGGCCTCACAGTTTTAAATGCAAAATTAAAACAAGTCTTTTATTGATTTTTGAAGATCACTTGACAAAGCCAACAAGTGAGGGGTTATATTGTGGAAATCACACATCTATAAACCTATGAGATGAATTTAAAAAGCCCAGCTGCCTAATATTATGCAAATAGGCACTTGTGGTTTGGGGGAACAACACAGCAAATGCAGCACACACAGATGTGAACTTCAACCTTGAACTACAAGTGTGACTACAATATGAAATGGTATGGATGACTCTCACGGGCATAATATTGACTAAACGAAGCTAGACAAAAAAAGCACTTATATCAAATTCAAAAGCAGGCACCTCTAAACTGCTGTGGTAGAAGTCAGAGTACTGGTTTCCCTCTGAAGGGGAAAAGGGTGGGACTCCTGGGGCACTGGATTGTAATGAGTGCAAGCGTTGTTCTGTTGGTTCACTTTGTGCAAGATCAATGAGTTAAACATGAATGATTTGTGCCCTTTTCTGTATATGTATGTTGTACTTCAGTGAAACTTTAAAAAAGTACTACACTTTTGAGACCGGGTGCAGTGGCTCACACTTGTAATCCCAGCATTTTGGGAGGCCCATGTGAGTAGATCACCTGAGGACAGGAGTTCAAGACCAGCCTGACCAACATGGAGAAACCCCGTCTCTACTAAAAATGCAAAATTAGCTGGGCATGGTGACACATGCCTGTAATCCTAGCTACTCGGAAGGCTGAGGCAGGAGAATCACTTGAACCTGGGAGGTGAAGGTGAGGTGAACCGAGATGGCGCCATTGCACTCCAGCATGGGCAACAAGAGTGCAACTCCATCTCAAAAAAAAAAAAAAGTACTATGCTTTGAGCAGTTTAGAGCTAATGATATGTTCTGGAAATCTGTTTCATTTATGTGACTCTGAAGGTGGCTCTAGTGATGGCAGGGATGATGTCAAAGGTGCAAAGGTAGAGCAAATAATGTTTTTGATGCCATGTGTAGAAAAGAAAAACCATGCTTCTATTTTATCGTTGTTGTTGAGATGGAGTCTCACTATGGTGCCCAGGCTGGTCTGGAACTCCTGACCTCAGGTGATCCTCCTGCCTTCACCTCCCCAAGTGCTGGGATTAACAGGCATGAGCCACCACACCCAGCCAGAAAAGCCATGCTTCTAAATTGATCTATTCTATTAGAATGTGTGATCCAGGATAAATATGTAATTTAATTCCTAAATTACCAAATTCAAATTTTAAAGTAGACACTTGACCATTTCATTCTAATTCTCCAAACATGTATCTAAGTTGGCCAAAAAGTGTGTTATGGGTTTTCCCTCTGGCAAACTATAGCATGGCCTTTTTTGGTGGGATTTTCTTTCTTTTTTTTTTTTTTTTTTAAATTTGAGAAGCAGTTTGAGCTCATCTCCTGCATGTTCAGTTTTAGGTGCAATGTTTTAAAGGGAAGACTTACATTATGAGGCTAGCCCAGAAGAGGGTGACTAGAGTACCTAGGAGTTCCTACGTGGAAGGGCTGAAGGTTGCTAAATTAAAGTAAGATAAATCTTGGTGTAAAGGGTGTTTATGAATATGAAAATATCATGTGCAAAGAGGGTGGTATAGTCAGGTGGACCCAGGGGAAGAGAACTAGGATGCATGAGTGCAGGGCACACTTCAAGCCAGTATTAGGAAAACTTTCATAATGACTGGAGCTCATTAGAAGGAAGATGAGATGTCTTCAAATGAATTCCCTAGATTCAAGAAGCCCTTAGATTAATCCCTTAGAAGATTCTGGAATAATCTGGATAATTACTTGTTAGATATGTGGGTGGGAGGATTTCTTCAATGGATCAGGTCTTTTTAAGGTTTCTCCCAGCCTCAGGAGCTCATGATACTGTGATCTCTTTCTTAGCTGTCTCCAGCTGGTCAGTTCTGTGTCTGCAAAATTTGGAAGGTGAAGAACTCATTTGTGAAGTGGCCCACACCATAGAGTCAAGCCATGTAGGCCCCAATCAGGAGCCAGGATAATCTGGTTTGATTCTTGACAGGGATTAAATGAGCCAAAATAATGGTTGTTCTCTTGGTTATTTTTTCTGGGTCAAACTTCTGAACCACTGGTGTGTTTTGTTTAGCTTTGAGTTTAAAAAATGAATTTGTTGCCAACATCTAAAAATAAGTTTTTAATTTTTTATTATTTTTATTTTCAGAAAACTTCAGGTTCCTGGGTTTTTCTTGAAAAGCCAGTGGTTAGGCAATGCTGGACCTCATTCCCACAGGCAGTGATGGGGTTCATGCATTCTGTAGAAGGGCTGGCATTCCTGGGCTGAGTGAAGCCCCACCTAGCTGCTTCCCTTATTCATTCACATTATCTGCCTGGTCCCCAAATCTTTTGAGTTTGCAATTCCTGTTCTAAGAAGACATTAGTAGTTTTTCTTTCTTTCACACATAATTTCAGTTGCCTTTAAAATCCATTAAATTTACAGTGATAATCCATGGCAATGAAAAAACAGAGTCTAGTGCCTGTCAATTTTATATTCCAAGTAAAAGTGACTCTAAGGAGAACTGGTAGAATATCTGTTAACTTGGTTTTCAATGTGAATTTAGAGTTTTATTTTTCTTATGGACTTAATCTCTTGGCTCTTCACTTTTCTCATCTGTAAAATAAGGTTACTGCAGTAACAGACAACTACCTCATGGAATAATTCTTGTGGATTAAATAAAGTCATGCTAGGAAGCCCTTACATCAGTGCCTGGCAGATAGAATGCTCTCAGTAAACATTTATTAAAAATAGGGAGTATAATTGAAGGAATGATCTAAAATTCATATTGTCTAAATTATGTTCAGTAGAACACATCGAGCTAGAAATCTCACAGTACTTACTGTGGCAGTAAATTGACAAACATTTCATTAATTTAGCTGCCATTGTGTTTGGTGGGATTCATAAAGGGAACATCATTGTCATGTTCACTTTCCAGCTCTCCTGTGCCAACCCAGTGGTTACCATAGCCCCAGAAGGAGCTCTGTTAGGCTGGGAGTGATCACTTGATGAGGCTGGTGTCCTCTAAAATGTGGCAATAGTTTTCCTACTTTCTTATCTAGGATATCTCTTGAGGAAATTGTCTTCAAAAAGAGATGCAAGACTGACACCCAAACAAATGAACAAACAAAATAGTTTTCGAATAAGTGGAACAGCAAACGTCTCTCAGGTATTAACCTGGAGTCAGCCAAACTCAAGGTTAAGGAGACAGTCTTCCAAAACTGTCAAGTCAACCCAAGACTTCTGACACCACTTAACAAGTTTGGGAATCCCCAGGCCCATCCTCACATGAGACAAAGTAACAACAAATTTAGGGGTTCCCATGGATTTCCTCAGGTTTGATAAATTGCCACAATGACTCACCGAATGCAAGAAAGTACGATACTTGCAATTACAGTTTTATTATAGGAAAATGACATAAATGAGAGCCAGCCAGAGGAAGAGACACATGGGACAGAATTTGAGACTCAGAGGGTCTCAAATGCAAAGCTTCAGTGTCCTCAGGGATGTGTTACCTTCCTGTTGTTGAAGTGTGACCATATGCAGTGTGGCCAGACTATGGTCACTGTCTTAGTCCCTTTGTGCTGCTCCAATAAAATATCATAGACTATGTACTATGCATAAAGAACAAATATTTATTTCTCACATTTCTGGAGGCTGGGAAGTCCAAACTCAAGGTGCCAGTAGGTTCTGTGTCTGGTGAGGGCCCATTCCTCATAGATGACACTGTCTCAATGACCTTAGAAGGCAGAAGAGTAGAAGAGAGCAAACTTACTCCCTCAAGTCTTTTTATAAGGATCCCAATTCCATCCATGAGGGCTCTGCCCTTATACCTGAGTCAACTATGAAAGGCCCCATGTCTTAATACTGTCACATTGGTGATTACATTTTAACATATAAATTTTGGGGGGATATTCAGGTCACAGCAGTCACCAAATATCAGTGTCCAGGGGCTTCATTATGTAGGCATGTTTGATAGAATCCTTGACCAGCTGATATTACCTGATTCAATGCCCCAACCCTCTAATCTCACTGTGCTTTCAAGGTGGCCAGCTTTCACTCTGAGTCATCTATGAGCACAAACTCTCCAGGGGCCCGCCATGAGTAACCTCATCAGCATAAGAGGGGTCCGCCGTGAATAACAAAGGCACTGCTATCACTCAGGAGATTCCAAGGGTTTGGAGATTCAGACTAGACTGCTGTTCTTTTGGGTAGAGTTAATTATTCACTACACAGGTACCTACCTGGGGCAAGCAGCCTCTGAGATGGCCCCCACTGGTCCCTACCTCCTGGTGTTCATACCTTGTATAATCCTCTCTCCTCCTACGCTGGACCAAGTGACTCACTTCTGGCAAATATAATACTAAAAATGTGATGGATATCACTTCTGTGATGAGGATACAGAAAGGCTCTGACTTCCTTCCCTATTACTCACCATCTTTCTCTTTTGCTTCTTGCATTGAGGAAGTCAACTGTCATGTTGTGAGCTGCTCAATGGAAAGACTCATGTGGAAGGAAGTGAGGGAGGCCTCTGGCCAATAGTCCAGGAGGAACTGAAGCCCTCAGTCCAACAACCTGTGTGGAACTGAATCCTCTAAACAATTACATGTGTGAGCTTGGAAATAGATCCATACTCAGTCAAACTTTGGGACCCCACGCCTGCTGACGCTTGATTGTGGTTCCAGCTAAGCCACTGCTGAAATCTCAACTCAGGGAAACTATAATATAGTAAATGTTTGTTGTTTCAAGTTGGCAAATTTTGGAATAATTTTTTATATAGTGATAATTTTTTATATACCTTAAAACAACCCATTACCCTATCCTTTGCTACACTTTTCTCTTGGAAATCTGCTTGCCCACATATTACAGAAGTATCTTTCAGATCATAGGCTGAAAGGTGGATTATGGATACAATGTTTAAATTTAGCAGTGTCATTTATGGCCGTTTATATGAGCTTTGCTGCATAAAATGTTGATATTAATTTGTTTCCCTTTAAAACATTCTTAATGTTTACCTCAGTATTTTCTTTGTAATCAATTAATATAAAATGAATATAGTGTATAGGTTTTACCTTTTTAAATTTGTTTTAAACAAAACACATAACATCTAACCATTGTTATTTAAAGATCAACTAGAAGGAGGTGATGGAAACTCAGTTTAGGATCACCTTCTTTACACGTTAGTTCTATTTCTGTGAGTATATATTAAACTAGTGGGGGATCAAGCTACAAAAATGCTACTTGGGGAGAATGTCTTTTTTTTTTTTTTAAATATGAATACTCAACCCTGAAGTTATGTTTTTGTGGAAAGTTATCACTTTGGAATTTGAATTTTCTTGGAGCTAAGCCACCGGTGGTTGTAAAAGCGACACCTGTAAATTTGCTCCCTAGAAGATACTTTTGTTTAGTGACTGCTTGTTTCTCTGTGGATAAATTCAATTATAAATTACAATCGAATCGACTTTTTCATAGCATCCTTCACTCTCCAAGTATCTTAAGTCCTCTGTGGATTGTAAAGTAATTACAGTGCTCAAAGGACAGTTTCATAATTGTGTCCATGAGCACAGACTTTCCTCTATGTTTGAGAAGGGCTCATTCCCAGCCGGGAACATTAAGTTGGATTTTATTGAGACTGTGGACTGCTGGTCCAGACAGCTGGGTGATCCCCTGTGCTATTTTGAAAAGTATCCTGGGATCTTTAATTTCCACCTGGATGGTCAGAGAGGTGAGAGAACGGCCCTCCCTGGGTGTGACCTTGTATCCCACTTGGGGTCTTGAACCAGGGGACCCCCAACCCCAGAGGTGAGATGTGCAATGTGGTCAATTATACAACCTCTTACTTATTTTTGCTAAATCCCAAGTGTATTCTTATGGCCTGTTCTCTCCCAGGTGAGTTCAGATGGTGGCCAAGAAGAAATGTTAGAAAATTCTCAGAGAACCGTTTCATGAGAATGTTTTCATTGGTTTGTACCTGATACTGTTTTGTTTTCGTTGTTGCTTTTTAATAACATTTTTTCCCTTTCTGTGGTGTCATTTGTGTAATACACGGGTAACAAACACTCAGGGCTATTTGGTTGCATGCCACAGCTTTCCTTTGGCACATCTGCAATGGAGGAGTCTTTCTGTCTTTCTCCTTTTGTTCCTTATCATCTGTTAGCTTGGCACAGCTGACTGAGCTATTAAATGATTACTGCATCTTTTGTACCTCACCTTGACTTTGATATAAAAAGGTGCTAATTAAGTGGAAGCTCCTGGCTCTCTTGTCTATTTGGACCCCAGGAAGCGAAAGACCTTAGGGAGGGGAACGTATGTGCGTGTTTGGTTTTCAGCGTTTTGAGGAATTGTTACTGGAGCTTATGAAATATTTTAGACTTTATAAACACAGCAAAATCTTCAAACTATGTATGAGGTTAACTCAAAAAGTCATGTACAGGTAGCTTGGCAAATCAACTAACTGCTGATCAGTTTGTGGTGATTGTAAGTCTATATATGCTGGATTTGAGTATTTTCTGTATTTAAAGAAAAATAAGTACATTATAAGAATAGCTGTCATCTCCCTCTCTGGCCTTACTCTGTAGATATTTGAAATGGAGATTAACATATTTTAGAGTAATAGAGAGTGCTATTTCATCAGTGTCTAGAATGGGAGGTGAATTCACGTCCCTGCCTGGACTTGTTGACTAACTCGCTGGGTAGTGAGAACCATGACATTCTCCTGGGAATTGGTTCCAGGGCACTGACTGCATTTCTTCTGAAGCTAAAGCACTTAGCTTTGCTTCCATGCCTTTAAATATAATTTGTAGGCTTCAGTAGATTTCTAAAGTACACCACTTGATATCTTTCACAGCTCAATGTAAATTCTGCAGCATGAACTTATAGAATTTTTTTTTTCTTTTACCTGGGGTGAGAACATACCTTTTTCTAGTGCTATTTTTTTTTAATGGGATACCTTTCATCTGTTTACATGAATTCCACTTTTCTTGCTGTATTAAAAAACTCACCCAAGCTGTCTACATAGGTGTGAAACTTTTGGTTGTGATTTTCTTGAAGTTAGTTGGAAATGGAACATTTTTTCTGTATCCCGAATGGCTCACATGTTCCCTAACATGGAATGGATACTCAGTGAACAGTTATTGAATCAGTGAACAGTAATGAATCAGTTCTGTCAGACAATAGATTGAATTATTTTTACATACTTAGTTCACTCATGGGCTGAATTAACCTAGTCATGGGCTGTTTGGGCCATCAAAGGATATTTATACATTTCTGGAGAATGTATAGTCACCTTGGTTAACAGTGTTTGCAGGTGGCATTCAATTGCAGGGTCCCAAGGAACCATGGTTGAATTCTGCTTGGGCATAGGCCATATTCCACCAGCAAAGTTATGAGAACTTTTTTTTTTTTTGGTAACTGACATGAAATTTTCAGTTCTGAATGACAACCAGAAACTCCTTCTGCAGCAACTGAACAAAATGTTTTGAGGGAATTTGAGAGGAGGGTCGGACTTTTATCTCTCACATCCAGCAGGAGGATGCTCACAGACTTTTAAGAGATGTTCTGTTTATGAAATGGAGGAAGGATGGAAGCATCAGCCAGCCCGTTCATGCTTGGGGGGTTTGGGGGACAGAGAGGGAGCTCAGAGCCTAGAGGAGCATAGGTCACTCTAATGAATGACAGCTGAAATAATAAAGACATGCCATCCATGCTACTTTTTGCAGAAACCAGAAACATCCTTGTGAAAGTTAAAGGGAAAAGAAAAATGTATACTTTGAGGGGGGTATTAATGGGGGACAGGAGGTGGTGACATAAAGTCTGGTTTAATGTGTCTCGTTGTAGCCCCTTAAGGCTTTACCTGACCCCATCACTGTCACAACACCTTCTCTGGGACTGACAGTCTTGGTAATTGATGGGTTTGTAGGGGCTTTTTTCTGCAAACACATTAAGACAGGAGGGAATACTCCAGCCCCCACCTCTCCACGCCTGGCACAGGGGACCTGAAGGCGAGCAGACACAAGGCCTGGCGGTGTTGGGGTGGGAGAAAGAATCAATTCTGTCAACCGGACTGCCCAGCTACCGTCAGGCGCTGGGATCTTTCACCTGCTCCTTGGAGTCATTAGAACTCCCAAATCTCTTTGCAGGCCTTTTCTATTAGACACATACTCCCATGTTTTGATTTTTTTGCTCCCAAAGTCATTTTTTTAAATAATTACCAGCATTGAACCACACTTACTACCTGTGGGCCGAGAGCAGGCAAATGATTTATTAGTTTTGGTTTCTAACGGTGCTGAGCAGCGTGGGATTGATCTTGCTGGTGACACACTTGCTGGATGTGCTGATGGGTGGGAGGGTCAATGTCAGGATGCAGCTTCTTGCAGAGCTGACATGCACATGGGGACCTGGTGTTTGGTGTTTAGTCGGCAGACTGTGACATTGCAAAAGTGGAGTCTCAAGTCAAGGTGGATAGTGGGAGGGAGGAAAAGCAGAGAAGGAGCTTCTTGGGATGTTTTACTTTAAGTAGAGAGTGAAACTGTGTGCATGAAAAGAGGAGAGAGAGTATGCAGCTCGAATCATCACCAGGAAGGCTCTGGGTTTCTTCTGTGCACACTGCCTGCCCTGTATCCAAGGGTTTGACTGTGCAGTGGCCAGTCATATTGGGGGACCTTGAGCACTACATTTGGCATTTGAATGTATCCTGATTTACATCTGAATCAAGATATCCATCAATATAGCCATTTCCATTGCTTGACATTATGTTTTGGGGGCTAGTTTTTTAAAGATCAGTGATCAAATTGCAGCTTGGCTGATTATATATGTCTTCTTGAAGACTCACCTGTCCTCCCCAGTGAGATGCTGACTATACAATAGAAGTCACTGTGCTGGGCACACGGGCAGTATTCAGGAGACGTGGCTTCCCTCCTCCTCCTCCTATTTTTTCTTTCCCAGAACAGCAAGGCTGAGACTGACAACAAAATTCCTGGAACATGGAGAATATAATGTGGGGAGAAAAGCAGAGATGTATTGTGACTTCCGCGGGCTTTAGGCAGTTTTGGATCCCCATACTTTTTCCATAAAAAATGTATTTTAAGACATATTGATTAAAGATGAAATTATTCATAGTGCATATTAAAATGTTTTCCACCACCTAAAAGTTGGTGGTTTTATTGTCTGCTGGTTTTTAAAATAAATTAAAACCTTTTCATAGGCCCTTAGAAGAGCTGTGGGCCCTGGGCCCAGCACCTTGCTGGGCCTGATGAATCAGGCCTGGAGAAGAGACATTAGTGACATTTTAGTGTCAGGTAGAAAATGTAAAATACCGTGATCATTTTCCAATGATATACTATGTAAGACACATAAGATGTGTTTTTATTTTTTTCTTTAATGTATAATATGGTCTTTTAGGTATAAATACTGAGTATTGTTAAAAGATCAACTGGAGCACAATACAATTTTAAAGCATTTATTTTAAAGAGCAAACAATGATTTGTTACTGAAAACAATGATTTGTTACTGAAACACCAGGGGTTCATCTAGGTCCTGCTGCTTGCTGCACAGAAAGCCAATCACTGAGATGATGAGTATTGCCAAGGAAGAAGGGTTTAATTGGGTGCTGCTGTCCAGGAGATCAGTCTCAATTTCACCTCCCGGCTGATAAAAATGAGGGGTTTATATAGCAGGGAAGAAATGTAACAATGTGTAAGAAAGCAGGAACTAGGAAGGGGCAAGCAAGCAATCCTGAAGAATGAGGGGCCTAATATATCATTGCATGTGATGATCTGGTGAGTTTCAGTTCTTTGATACTTTTTGAGAGGTCTGGGGTTCCTTTCCTGTGGAAGAAACTCGGATAAAACAAACATAAGTTTGAAGCTTTAAGATTAGAAGGATCAATTGCTATATTGATCTAAAAAAAAAGTATTGATGGGACTATTGGGTCAGTTTCAGATTCATGAATCAGGCAGCTCAAACCAAAAGTGGTTCAACGCCTATGCTGAAGAAGGGAAGAGACAGGCTTTTGTAGAGTGAACAGGGAAACAACAGAAATGAAATATTTGATTGGTTACAGTTAAAAGTTGCCTCATTTGGTCTATCCTGCTGAGAAGTCCGCAGTTACATAAATTTGTTGGCTGCTTCTGATGGTTTGAGCTTCAGTTCTGTTTTTTTATTATGGGCATTTACAGAAATAGCTCATGTTAGGTTTTTTTTTTTGTTTTTTGTTTTTTTTTAAAAGCACATCTGAGCAGATAAGTTTTGTTTATGTTTGCAAATAAGATTAAGGTCATTAATGAAGCCTAACTGACTTTGCCTGCTCAGGGCTTCTTCAAGTCTGATCTTCATTTTAATTTACTGTAACAGTACTTTAGATTTGTCAGGTAAAGTTAGAGCTCATCTTTATTGACCCCAAGACATACTCTGAAGTTTGGACTTTTTAATAACTCCCTCATATGTATTAACTTT